GCGCACTGTCACTGTCAGACGAACACATATAAGCTCCACCCGCTTTATTTATATGGCCACGGAACACTGTAACCTTCCACACAAAATAGTTCCAAACAAGTAACAATCACGTCAGTGGCATACATCGTATTCGACAAGCTGCCTGCTCTTTATTCACCAGAGGCTCATCAACCTAGTCTCTTATTTCTCTCCCAAAACAGTGTCTTCTCCCACTTGGTATACCTTAGCCTTCTCCGCTACGTACAATCTCTACACAGCTGGTAATGCAGGCTCTCGCTGGCAATCTGTAGTGGAGTCGTTAGATGCAATGCGAATGATTTCAGCTTGAGTCGAGCTGTGGACAATGTTGACAGGCTTGCATGCAGTATCCATACATTTAGCTATGGCTTCAGCAAATTTGTTCATCGTCGTGTCATCCATTTTCTTCGCTTTGAAATGATCCATAGCTGTCTGTCTGAGACTAAGGGGCGGAGTACTCACATCATCTGTGTGCTTGGCCATTAAGTGGTATTTCAGACTCGACGTGCAATGATGATAGCTCAGTTTACGACTGCAAAACATACAGGTAACTTTGGTCTTGTCAGTGGAGCAATCTGACAATTTTTTAAAAGTAAACTTTCCATTCATAAACTCTAAGTATCCGTTTTCGGTGTCTTGCGCTGCCGTGGCTGGCAAAACAAACGTGCGTGGACCTATGCAGTGCGCTTGTTGTTTTGTTTCTGGTTTATTTATAGAGCAACGTAACATCCGCTGTGACGTGTGCCGCGTTAATCTCGCGAGAAAAAATTTAATCCCATTCAAATTCATTTAAATTTATGCCAATAAAAACGCGCTAAACTGACAGCTCTACTTTTTACTGATGAAAATTGCTAAAGTAATTTTCGTTACCCTCTAAGTTGAACTATTGGTAGTAGCTTTTTTTCATGTCTATTTATGTGTAAGCAACCATAGCTGTTACCTGGCAGCTGTGTAGTCCCAGCTAGCTTGTTCGATCTTTCCTCTGAGAATGCCGATGTCACTGGAAACCATCTCATCAAGGGCTTGCAGCTCATTCTGGATTCTGTTCAGCTTCACAGCTTCAGCTTGAGTTTGCTTAGACCTACAGAGAACAACCATAATGAAACTAAAAACTTTTCAACGTTCAGGTTCTTGCTTTTTGTTTTTTTTTTTTTTGACAGTCATGATCCTGTATTGTACCTAACCAAAAAAACTTACTTTTCAGCTATAGTTTTTGCAAGCAGAGCCTTCTTGCGCTTATTCCTTTCTTCTATAATCTTTTGTTCCCGTTGCAGTTGCTCCAGGCGATTCTTCTCTCGACTGCAACATTTTAAGCAATGTTTTTTTAATAGTTTACCTTAAATGAAAAACAAGGCCGTTCATAACAGTTTGGGATTTACGGAATAAAAGGGAAAACAAAACTACTAACAGTTCAACCTCTTGTTTCTCAAGCTCCTTGACGACCGGAGTTCGCTTCTTTGCTGCTTCTTTACAGTTGTCTTGCGTCTTTTCCTCGATTAGAGTCTGATGCGTATTGCTTTTCTCTGACGGACTTCCTGGTGCAATGTGCTCAAGATCACGCTCACCCTTCGATGGCATCTTCTTGAGCTGCTGCTCGGGTGGAAGTTCAAGAGACACGAAACCAGCGCATGCCTGAGAGGCTCTCTCCAATGTCTTCTTTCTTTGTAGTTGTTGCCGATTCCGGCTGGGCGGTCGTAGTTTGCTCTTACTTGCTATCACAGAGTCTGTAACGACGACGTTCTTATGCAGCAAATTCTAACAAACAATACATAGATGAGACAAGTCAAACGTGATGACAGGTTACCTTTTTGCTGCATTCTCCGCAGTTCCTCTTCCGAAAACCCAGCCCATCCGCTCATTTTATTATTTCAAACTTAAACTCCCAAAAATGCGATTAAAATCCTGACAGAAGGAGTAAGACAGCTCGTTTCAGTGACAGTACAATGCAAATCAACTTTTGCTGTCTTGGTAGCGTCTACGAGACAATGGAGCCATCAATCGACAGCCATATTTTTTTGTGTTTATGGTTGATGCCCACGTGATGCCACGTCAAGGACCTGCAATACTCTAAGTTGTCCCAAGACAGGCCTGAGTAAAAAAAAACAAAATACAACTGCAGCATACTGTAGTTAATTCTACGACAAAAATCCTAGTGTCAACCGTTCTTTGAGTTTCAGTTGGAAGTTGGTAAAGTGAAAACTGACTCAACATTTTGTTAGTTGTTTTTAAATCTAACTGTCCAATTTTTCATATTTTTGGCTCAGATCAAAAACAGCAAATTGGCCACAAGATTGAGTTGATATTAATATCTGTCATTTAAAAATTACCTGGATCGTTTTTTTTTCAAGAACAAAGAATTACATTCGTGTTAACGTTTGTTTGTTTTGGTTTTTCTATGCAAACAATTGGAATTAGAGAAATGAGAAAAGTCCACGAAGGTCTTGTCATTTCATGGATAACTTCTATCTACACTTTCGTAGTTTGCAAACAGAGGACCAAGGAACTATAGCAATTCTGATTCGAGAAATAAGATAAGTCCGGGGCGGCACGGTAGGCAACTGGTGAGCACGTCGGCCTCACAATGCAGAGGTGCAGGGTTCAATTCCAGCTCTGGCTTTCCTGTGAGGAGTTTGCATGTTCTCCCCGTGCCTGCGTGGGTTTTCTCCGGGTAGTACGTTTTCCTCCCACATTACAAAGACATGTATGGTAGGTTGATTGGGCGCTCCACATTGTCCCTTGGAGTGATTGTGAGTGTGAATGGTTGTTTGTCGTTAAGCTCCACCAAGCCTGTGACCCTTGTGAGGATAAACAGATGTGAAAATGGATAAATGGATAGAAGAAAAGGCTACTTAATAGACTGCAAGCAAAACTTTTTCTGATCCGCTTATCCCGTGGGTCGGCAACACGTGGCTCCAGAGCCGCATGCGGCTCTTTAGCGCCATCTCGTGGCTTCCTGGAGCTTTATAAAAATGTTTGAAAATGGAAAAAGATGTGGGAGGGAAATGTATTTTTTTGTTTTAAATATGTTGTCTGTAGGAGTAAAAACATGACACAAACATTCTTAATGTTTCCCAATGCCGTAAAAATGTGTAGAATTAATATTACATTCCAACGTTTCTGTCAACAAAGATTTGCGTCATAGGCTGCGACACACGTTTCTCTTAGCAGGGCGGGATGCAAGGCAGGTGGCTGTTGCAAAAAAAATAAACAAATAAATAAAAATAAAAAACAGCGTTTTATGTACAATTCACCGAGGGTACTGGCAAAGAGAATCTGGAGGGCCATAAAAGCAATTTTAAAACTGTACATGTGAGCTAAGATAGTCAAAAACGCTGCAAAATTGCGTCCCATGCCTCTGCGTCAGATCTCGATGAAGGTCGGTAGGCATGCATCTGTCAGTGTATTGTGTATGTGCAGGTCGATTGCGGTAGGTTGGTTGGACGAAAAGTAAATCTTCGGTCAAAAAAGATTGGGCACCCCTGCCCTACAGAATGCACTGCATGGGGAAAAAAAATAATCATGAAGGCTGATCGTGTAATTGTAGCAAACTTAGTCATTTTGATAGTAGGCTAATATAGCTCATATAGATATAGATACGTGTTCCAGCAAAGAAAAAAGGGGAGCTGTGGTGTTGTCGTTTTTTTTAAGCGTACACTTTATTTATGCTTTTAATAGTCTCGACAAACAAAGACACGTCTGCATCTGACTCTGTGCCGTCCTCTCGTTGTTCGACTCGAGAGGCGTTCAAACAAAGACAGCCTCCGAAAAACGGAAATTAATGATCACTTACATGACACTAAGAAAAGCGAAAAATCAAGCGAGGAAATCACAAAATACATTCTATGGGGGCATTTGTGAACACACAACAAAGGAATGAAAAACAAACAATTCTGAGATAGTCCAGTCTCCTACATACATACAGCCTGTGTTTCCTTCTTTGTAAGTTTTATAGAAGGCTTTTATTTTTTTGCGGCTCCAGGCATATTTGATTTTTGGGTTTTTTTTTTGTCCTATATGGCTCTTTCAACATTTTGGGTTGCAGACCCCTGGCTTATCCTCATTTCCCCATTTCAGAGTGGAGCCTGCCTACTACTGAAGACGGTTGGGATAGCCTCCAGCAGGCCCCGGGACCCATGTGAGGATTAGTGGATAGGAAAATGGATGGATTTTTCCATCAGTGTTTTGACGATCCAAAACAGCATCATTTTTTTTTTTTTAAATTTAGTTGAGAAAAAGCACATCGCCATGACAACAGCAAAAGCTTTGCCTTTACGTTTCATCTTGAACATCTTCAGATGAAACACCCACAGATTAAAGAGAATTAGATAAAATCTCTTGTAGGAGTTCTATAAAATGTGATCGCTGAAAAAGGCCAAAAATGGGGCAAAATTTGAAAGAAAAATCCAAATATCTGACCTGTTAGATTTAGCATATGGCTCCAAGAGACTTTTTATAGGTTGCAATCCCTGCCCAGACTCTAACTCGAGCTGAGAGCAGCCATGAATGGCCCTTGCAGCCCTGGCCAATTTGGAGCACAGTACTTGCACAGTGGAATTGGATTTTTTTTAAATGGCACAATAAACCTCTGACATATAACTTTTTTTTAGCCACCCCCAATCTGTTTGTGCATTTTTTCGTCTTCAAAAACAACTTCGTTTTCTTGTCAAACTGTGTGTCGCAATGACAGTAGTGTTTCATGAAACTAATTTCATGTTTCAACATGAAAGCCTAAATACTGTTCAGAAAAGATGCACGGCATATCTTGTTAACCCCTTTGGAAAAGTAAATTAGATAAAAGTGGTGGACATCCTGCTCATTTCGGGGTATGGCTCTAAGAGACTTTTTGTAGAGTCTTGTTGTGCCTTATATATGCCACACAATTTTTGTTGACCTCAGTGAAACACAGAACCATGCTGCATAGTGAGCCTTTTTTTATTGCAAACTAAGCCTCGAAAATATATTTTTGCCCGACCTGATGTTTCTGCAAAATGTTACATTTTCATGCATGTTAACACCATATAATCAGCATTGCACCATGGCAACATTTAGACAAAATAAAAAGCGTTGTTTATACTTTTTATCTTGAACATCTTCAGTTGGAATGCCCAGAGTTTTAAGGCAATTGGGTCCAATTTCTGGGAGGAGTTCTTTCAAATGGGACCTTTATAAAGGCCAAAAATGCAGCCGAATTTGAAAGAATATCCAAAATGGCTGACTTCCTGTTAGATTTGGCATGTGGTTCCAGCAAACTTTTTTGTACATCCTGGGCACTTACATATGCCTCCACTATTTTGTCAATTTTGGTGAGATGTACACCTGGTGCTGCTTTGTTAAAAATATGTAGGGGGGGGGCGCTTATAAGCCATTTGTTAAAAATTGCACAATACACTAATACAAATACTGTATTGATGATTTTGTGAGGCTTGACGTGTGTCTGTGTGCAAAGTTTAGATTTTTTTTCTTTCATGTTTAGACGCTCAAAATACCCTCAAAATAAGCGTTGTCTTCTTGTTTTTTCTTAGTTGTTGTCTGAGGTCTTGAGATGGTACTGCCAAAGTTTGAAGACAATTAGATGAATCCTCGAGAACAGGCGCGGAAAAGTATGACTCCTGTATATGTCTAAAAATGGGCCAAAACTGGGCATATTAAAAAATAAATAAATAAAAACATAGCTCACTTTTTATACATTTTAGCATATTGCTGCAATGGACTGTTTTTGTACATGTTAGGGTGCTGCACATGCTTCCCAATTTTAGTATATTTAAGTCAAACCTCTCAAGATTCATTTTAGTTTTTACACTGTAGGTGGTGCTACAGAGCCATTTGTTTTGTAATTGTGCAATACTGTACAACTTTAAAATGTGAACATTTCCACCAGGCCTTATAAGTGTGCAAAGTTTGATGAGTTTTAATGCAGGGTTAGATGCCCCAAAATACGATTAATTTGTAGAATAATGAATGATAATTATTAGCATAATAATTATAATTATAACAATAAATTTGCGCTGTGAGCAGCTATGCAGAGCCCTTGCAGCTACGTTGGTTGGAATCTGAATTTTTTTTTGATAATGTTCATCAGATAGTACACCAGATTAAAAGCCACTTCAATAAAATAGGCCTTCTTTAAAAATTGCAGACTTCCTGTTGAGCTTAGAATAGGGCTGCAGAGATTTTTGGTAGATCTTGGACTGTGACATATGCCTCTAATGATCAGCCAGCACTGTTACGTTACAAATTTCTAGAGGCCACAACTAAGCAATTTCTTTTTTTAAACCACACAACAATTTCAGAACATAGTGATAATTTTTCTGAGCCAGATGTGTGTGGCAAGTTCAATATTCAACAAATGTTAAAACCATCAAAATCAGCGTCATTTTTCTTGGCAAACAGCGCGTCGCCACGGGAACAGCGTTTGGCAAAATAAAAAGCTGCTCACGGCTCTAATTATCTTTGGAATTTGAAAGAAATTATCTTTTTCTCTCCTGGCATTTGTTATAACACCCAATAACGAAGTAAGAGTGCACCATTTTAAGAGTAACTGAGAAGTGTGTGATGCAATCAAATGCAAACAGTCAAATACTCATCACCCAAGATGGAGAATACAAAAATAAATCAATAAATACAAAACGGGAGTGACTTCATGTGCAAGTGACCTATATTTAGCCTGAGCTTCTCAACCTCACAGCCAGCTTGGGCCCCTTCCTGTCCTGAGACATGTTTCAAGAGCAAGCTTCTGTCACCTGGGATTGGACCACCAATGTCCCCACCAAGGACATTACCCAGCTCACTTTGCACCCAACCCCGTCAATTCCTCCAGCAGGTGGTGAGCCCAAGGGAAGGCAGTTCCACGTTATCTCTTTGGGCTACCCGCTCAGGCCCCTTGCTGCTTGTCAACAATCCCCGTTTCCATGCCTACCTCCAGAGGGGGGGCCGGCGGTAACCCGCATCCGGGTGAGGAAAATCCACCCATCCATCCATTTTCGGATCCGCTTATCCTCACCAGGGTTTTGAGGCGTGCCGGAGCCTATCT